CTTGGCTGGAATTGAACCCACTACTCTTTGGTCCACAGGCCAATGCTCTAAGCATTGAGCCAAACTGGCTAGGGCGGCTTTGTATTTTAAAAAATATATTTTTATTGACTTTTAGAGATGGAGGGAGAGAGAAACATTGATCAGCTGTCTTCCCCAGCACCCCAACCAGGGATCCAACCTGCAACCTGGGTATGTGCCCTGACTGGGAATTGAACCAGTGGCCTTTCTGTGCACAGGATGATGCTCAACCGAGCCTCACCAGCCAGGGCAGTATTTGTACCAGAGCAGCAAGCAGGACAAACCAGTGTCAGGCAGGTGGCAAAATAGGGACATGGATAGACATGTCTATCCTGCATGCCCCTCTGAGGAGCTGGTCCACTGCCTCCTCAACCTTCATGTCCCGTCTGACTCCTTCCATGTCCCTGCCAGATCCCTGCAGGCCCCTCCAGAGGTAACCACTGTGAACAGGCTGCAGATACAGGCGAAAACACAGAGATCACAGCATGAATGGGCCTCCCCCACGGTTGGAGCTGGCTTCTCCCTCCTGACCCTGTTCCTGTTCCTCCCAAGACACATTCTCCATAACTTAGTGACCAATGTTGAGGTAGTTTTTTTCTTTCCAATTACAAATAGCACAACTATACATACTTGCTTCTTTATGAATATTTTTTGGGGTACTTTTTTTTTTAGTGGAATTGCTGGTTCAAAGGACACAACATTTACAGTTTTGGTAAAGTACCTAGAGAGCAATGAGACTGTTCAGTTCCTCTGATATAAGCTGCTAACTATCCATGTGGTCATTAGTACTAAATGACTCCCACGTTCACTGTCCACGTTTTTTTTAACATTTTCATCTTGGAATCATTTGGGGTTTACAGAAAAGTTGCAAAGACAATATAGAGTTCCCTTCTACTCTCATGTTAACATTGTGTTAAAGCCAAGAAATGGACTATGCATTTCCACCATCTACATGCCAGACTATGTCGGTCTCATCAGGTTTTCCACTGATGTCCTAATCTGTCCCAGGATCCAACCCAGGTTCCCACATTGCATTTAGTCATCACATCTCCTTAGTCTTTTATAAGTCTTTTCTTGGTTTTCTTTTTTTAAAATCTTCACTCAAGGATATTTTCCCACTTATCTTCAGATAGGGTGTGAGGGGGGAGAGAGAGACCACTGAGCCAAACTGGCCAGGGCTTTTCTTGTTTTTCATGACCTTGACAGTTTGGGTGGCATTTTGTGAAATGTCCCCTAATCTGGCATGTTTTCTCATGAATAGCTTGGGGTCATGGGTTTTGGGGAAGGGCACACCAATGTGAGGTGCCCTTCAAGTCACATCCCATCAGGAGTTCCCGACACCCACAGGGCATCACCCTGAGGTTGACCTTGACCACCTGGCTGAAGTGGGGTCATGCAAAGTATCCCCCTGGCAGATTACTGTCCTTCCTTTTCTTGCCCTGTTCTTTGGAAGCAAGTCCCTAAGTCCAGCCCACACTAAAGGGGGGATTTATTTAGAAAATAATTTTTCATACAGAAAGTATAAAAATCAAAGGACACATGGCCCATAATTGCACTAACTAGACACCTGTTGACATTTATTTTTTATATGTTTTTTGTTGATTTCTTTAGAGAAAGAGAGAAACATCGATTGCCTCCTGTATGTCCCCTACTGGGGATTGAGCCCACAACCCAGGCATGTGCCCTGACTGGCAATCGAACTGAGACCTCTCAGTCCGTGGGACGACGCTCAATCCACTGAGCCACACGACAACTATTGACCTTTGCAGAAAATAAAATTAAAAAATACACACGGGTAAAAGTTGAATTGTACAGAAAATAGTATTAAAACAAAAACAGCTTGGCCAGTTTGGTTCAGCGGTTAAAGCACTGGCCTCCATGGACCAAAGGGTCACAGGTTCAATTCCTGGTCAAGGGCACATACTTGGGTTGCAGGCTCGATCCCTGACCCTGGTTGGGGTCATGCAGGAGGCAACTAATCAATGTGTCTCACATCGTTATTTCTCTCTCTCCTTTCCTCTAAAAAAATCAATGGAAAAATATCCTCAGGTGAGGATTAAAAAAAAAAACCCAAAATTAAGGCTTCACTGTTTTAAAAGAAGATATGGCTATTCCCGCGTGTCTATACACACACACACACACACACACTTGCAGCCTTGGTTCTGACCTGACCTTTCCTATGGGCACAAGGGTCCCAGGGTGCATCTCACTTTATGTAGCCTTCCCCTCACCTGCACCTGCGTGCCCTCCACCTCCACGCCTAGCTGCATCTGTTCCCCTTCCTGAGCCCCTTGGTACTATCAGTGAAAGATAAAGATGGTTCCCCATTTGTAGGTAAGGACACAAGTCTGGAGAAAGGAGGGACTGATGCCAGGTGGGTGCCCAGCCCAAAGTAAGCTTAGGCCATGTCCCTTTGTATTTTTCCCAAATCCTCACTGCCACTTAGCTCTGCACACAGACAGGCTGCTGCTCAGCCCTCTCACAACCTTGATTTCTGCATCTGTGAAATGGTGACAACTGAAGGGTTGTAGTGAGGACAAAGTGACCAGGTACAAGGCTGAACTGAGCATGGGGGTCAGATAGGGGCAGGGGGCAGGGGGCAGGGGCGTCATTGGGCTTTGACATGCTGCTGGGCCTGGGCCTGGGTGTGAAGAGAAACTCCATAGGTGGAGCAGGGGCCTCCTTCCTGCAGAGCAGCTGACATGGCCCATAGATGAAGGCCACAGGTCCCAGACCCTCATTATCCCTGGGAGTGGTGCACAACTGAGGCTCCAAGAGAATGACTTGCCCAGACCACTCAGCCTGCTGAGCACAGCCAATATGGCAGCCCTGACCCCTGCCTTGCCACAACTTGCCCTCTTCCACCTGTGGGAAAAGGGCTGTCCTGTATTCCTGACACATCAACTAGGAGTTCTCACACTTCAGGGCACCAGGTGGAGCTGCCTCTGGGGCACTACCCCTACTTCTCCACTTGTCAGGCGTGTGCCTGTCCACCCATGCCATCTTCAGACTTCCAGTTGCCTGGAGGTCATCCCTTGGGGGCTCCCTCTGGCCCAATAAATTTTGGTAGGAATGAATGGTACCAGCCTCTTTCTCATCCTGCTGTTTGCCAATGTGCCTGGTGGGGAGAGCCCGCAAAGGTGCTGCCTGCCTCTTCTGGACTTGGAGTGGCTGGGTCCTAGGGACTGAGCAGCACCTGTGGCTGGGGGGACTGAGGACCCTAAGGGTTGCTGAGATGGGGGGTTTTGGGGCCTGCCCAGGTGATCCACCTCCTAGATCTTCAAAGGTAGAGGACGTCCAGGTCGGCAGGAATGCTGACCCCAAGTGTCCAATGAGTGCCCACCTGGATAGTGGCTCAGAGCCCCAGGTCTAGGAGAGTGGGCCTGTCTATCAAAGGGAGCCCACTGAGCTGCAATTCGTTTCTATAGCTTTAAGTCAACTCTCCATGCCCCTCGCTTCCTTCAGGGCTGCCAGACGGAGCTGGCACAAGCTGCATCATCAAGCACAGTAGGGAGAGTGGTCGTGGTGGGGAACCCCAGGGGACAGTGGTCAGCCTAGGGGCAGAGGGGCTCAGTCGTGTCAGGTCATTTAACAGGAGTTGCAGGTGGAAGGATAAGAAAAGAATTCCAGGCTGGGGCTGGGGCCAGGGGCATGGCCTCTGCCCTCATGCAGGTCAGGGCAGTAACCGAGCCAGCTTTAGTGACTGGAACCCGGGCAGGGAAGCCGTGCAGGCCCCCTGGAGGCCACTCAGGCTACTGCATGGCCCCTACCGCCAGCCTAGGAAGGGGCGGGGGCGTGGTTGCCCACTTGGGAACACCCACCACTTTGGGCCTGTGAGCCCCGGCCATTTGCGGGGAGAGATTCCACTTTCATTGTCCCAACTCTGCGCCGTGGAGCGATGTACGCGACTAGCGTGTCCCGGAGGACTAGGCTTTGCCTCGTCAAGGCGCCCAGAGCCCAGCCCTTAGTGACCGTGGTGGGCTCCTTTTCCTGATCCCTCTACTCTCGCCCTCCCCAAAAGCACATCAGTCCTCCCTACTAACCCTAATGAGGCGCGCACAAGTGACTCCCAAATGGGGCACAAAAAGAGGAACGAACACAGGCTTGTTCGATCCAACAGGGCAGGGCGGCCCACCCTTCCCGGTGCCTAAAAAGGGGAGGCCCCGGGGAACCTCGGGGAGCGGCAAGGCGGGTCAACCACTGAAGGCGGTGAGGTGGGCGCAGATGCGCACTGTCAAGCAGGGCACTAGGCCCTGGAGGCGGGCGGGGGGGAGGGTCGCGCACGTGGCCCGGGGGCGGGGCTGGCCGCCTCCATACCCCTACCCAGCCACGTGGGGTGTGGAGATCTCCCCCATCGCTAACGGGGGCGCGCCGGGGCTCGGGTGGAAGCGTTCGGGGAAGGGGCGGTCTCCTGCCAGCCGCGCGTCACGCTGTGGGATGGGCGCGCCCGTGAGGGGACGAGGAACGCGCCGAGAAGGAAGGGGGGGTTCGCCGGGAGGGGGAGGGGGCCGCCTAGGGAGGGAGGGGCGTGCCGGGAAGGGCGGGGCGCGCTCCAGGAGAGGGGGCAGAGCTTACTGACGTGTGGAGGGGGTGCTCTGGAGAGGGGACTGGGAAACTTGCAGTAGGGGAAGGGGCACACCAGGAGGGTTGAGCTCAGGGCCTGGAGCCCCGCGTGGGAAGGAGAGCGTAGGACAGGAGGCCGAAGCGCGCTCCTGGGTAGGAGGGGGCGCGCCAGGGAGGCGGCCTCATACACCCGAGCCCCGCCCCCGGCGGCAGCGCGCGGCTCGCGGGGCGCTGGAGGGCGCGCCGGGCTTGGGGGCGTGGCTGCAGCGCCCCGAGGGGGCGTCCTCCGGGCGGGGCGGGACGTGGCCACCCCCGCGGGCTCCGGTGCGTCAGGGCGCGTCAAGCGGGGCGGGGCAGGTCGAGCGCGGGCGGCAGCGGCGGCGGCGCGCACCGGCCTCCTCCTCCTCCGCCTCCCGCACTCGAGCAGCCGACACCGGCCGGACGGGCGCCGTTCCCGCTGCTTCTGTTCGGTTCGCGCCGCGCGCCCTTTTCCGGCATGTCGGCGGCGGTAGCGTGCGTGGATTACTTCGCAGCCGACGTGCTCATGGCCATCTCCTCCGGCGCCGTGGTGCACCGCGGGCGGCCGGGCCCCGAGGGCGCGGGCCCCGCCGCCGGCCTGGATGTGCGCGCGCCGCGCCGCGAGGCCGCCCCACCCGGGCTCCCCGGGCAGCTAACGCCGTCTTCCCGGGCTGCCCCCGGCCCGGCTCCCGGAGCTGCCGCCGCGCCCCACCTGCTAGCTGCCAGCATCCTGGCCGACCTGCGAGGTGGGCCCGCTGCGGCCCCGGGGGGCGCCTCACCCGCCTCCTCCTCCTCAGCCGCCTCGTCCCCGTCCTCCGGCCGCGCCCCCGGCGCCGCGCCCGCCGCCGCCAAGAGCCACCGCTGTCCCTTCCCGGGTTGCGCCAAAGCGTATTACAAGTCTTCGCATCTCAAATCGCACCTGCGGACGCACACAGGTGAGTCCGGCCCGCCCTGGGGCGGCCTCTTAGGCCCCCTCCCCCGCTGGGACCCCGAAACTGCGTGGCGCGTCGGGGGCGGGGTGGGGGGGCGCGCCGGGGCCGCCGCCGCGCCTGCCGGGAGGGCGGGGCCTTGGTGGGTGGGGCGCGCTCAGGGGGCGTGGCGGCCACGCGGTCGGGTGGCGCGCGGATGGCGGGCGCGGCGCGGCGGCATCGACAGGGGCTGGCTGGACGCACGGTGCCGCGCAGCCGGGGAGTGGGGTTGGGGCTTCCAGGCAGCCCCTTTCCCGGTGTTTTTTTTCTCTTTTATTTTCTGTTGCGTTCGGATCTGGGTGGCGTGCACCCGTGGTTGGAGCACCCAGTCATGAGGTTCTTGTTTTTTTCTTTTTTCTGCCTCAGTTTCCTTAACTGTAGAAAGGGAGGAAAAGCCAAGTCACTGTCTCCGGAATGGCCCTGTGGATTTCCCCAGAGGGTGGCGCAGTGCCTGGCGGGGGGCCAGGGTAGGGGGAGTGTTTTAATAAGGCAGAGAACGGGGTTAGGAGTGAAGGTTGAGGCCTGAGTCTGGGGAGGGGAGAGATTTGAGAGGGGTATTTCCACTTGCTGTGGAACTCGAGCGTGCACAGGGTTGAGGGATAGGGTTTTGGGACACTGTCCCTTCCCACAGCTCAGTGGTGGTGGGGCTAGGGGAGACTGGAGGCCTGAAGGTGCTGGTCACCCTTTCACTCTACTTTAATTCTGTCACCCTCTCCCCTTGTCTCGCAGTGGGTCCCCTCTCCTCCCCATAGGTTCCCACTCTCCACCCTGAGAATGCCCACTAAGCTGCGACTTTGGGCTGGAACCCGGTATGGCGGGCCTTGGCTCAGTGGACATGCTCCTACTGTGGGAACACATGGACAGGGTGCAGGAAAGCAGGTTGGCTCCAGTGGTGTGGCAGAGACACAGCGGGCAACCTCAGGCCAATGGCCAGGCCTCAAATGCCACATAGGTGATGGCAGCCCCCCTTCCCAGTCCTCCTACCTCTCCTTCATACACTGTCCCTTGTTCTCAGGGATGGAGTCTTTGCCCATCTGTGAGCACAGCCAGGACAGGACTTGAGGTGGGGTCTACATTTTTTTTAGAAGGAGTCATCTTTTTCTGTGTGGTCACTGGATATTATTTGCTGTTCAAGATAGTGGGGACCTCATGTCTGTGGGGTTTGAAGGTGGAGAATTGGCTCATTTGGGGTGAGTTTGTCCTTCTCAATAGCGTCAGTGAGGCTGAAGTGGGAGACTTAACAGAGGGACCCCATCTCTCACCACTGTGCCCTTCCACCAGTACAATTTCCAGCCTGAGGTATTTGTTCTCTGAGAACCTTTTGGGGACCCCCAGTGCCCTGACTTGGTTTGATGTCCCCCCCCCAGGATTCTGTCACCCTTTCTGGATGGGATAAAGGGGGTGACCAGGCCACCCCCTACCATGACTCCCAAGGGACACTTCTCCAGGGTGTCTTGGGATCCTTTAGAACTTCTGTAGGCCCCTGGGCAGTGGTGGCCATTTCCCTAAGCCCATGGTGGAGGGACTCCTTGTTGGGGCCAGTACCTCAGTATTGCCATTCCCATTTTTTGTTTTTTAATATATATATTTGCTTATTGATTTTTGGGGAGAGAGAGAAACATCAGTGAGCCCAGCCGTTGTGGCTCGGTTGAGCATTGACCCATGCACCAAGAGGTCGCTGGTTCGATTCCCGGTCAGAGCATATGCCCTGGTTGTGAGCCAAATCCCCAGTGCGGGGCATGTAGGAGGCGACCAGTCGATGTTCTCTCTCATTGATGTTCCTGTCTCTTGTGCTCTTTCCCTTTTTCTCTCTAAAATCGATAAAGAAAATAAATAAATAAGAAACATCAATGAGTCTGGCTGGTGTGGCTCAGTGGTTGAGCATTGATCCATGCACCAAGAGATCACTGGTTCGATTCCTGGTCAGGGCACATGCCCAGGTTGTGGGCCCAATCCCCAGTGGGGGGCATGTAGGAGGCAGTCAGTCGATGTCCTCTCTCATTGATGTTTCTCTCTCTCTCTCTCCCCCTCTCCCTTCCTCTCTCTCTCAATTCAGTAAAGAAGAAAACATTTTAAAAAAAAATCAGTGAGAGAACATCGACTGGCTGCCTCCTGGGAATTGAACCAATGATCTCTTGGTGCATGGGTTGATGCTCAACCACTGAGCCACACAGGCTGGGTGCCATCCCCATTTAAAGTTATTTTTTCTTTGTTATTTATTTTCAGAGAGAGAGGAAGGGTGAGGGAGAGAGAGAGAGAAATATCTATGAGAGAGAACATCTACTGGCTGTCTCCTGCATGCCTCTCATTGGGGGTTTGGCCCACAACCTGGGCATGTGCCCTGACCGGGAATCAAACCAGCGATCTCTTGGTACATGGGTTGATGCCCAACCACTGAGCCACACTGGCCAGGCACCATCGCCATTTTTAATGAGAAACTTGAGGCAAAGAGGCTAAGTTGGGGTGTCACAGGGTTGGGTGCAGATGGTGGGGAGGGCAGGGTGCCATTCATGCTGGGTCCTGTGATCTGTGGGAACTGTGGCTCAGGGTGTCCTGTCCTAGAGTTTTATTTATAACAATAGTTCAGGGACCTAGTGGGGCACAGCTTCTGGATCCATTTGGTAGGCACTCTGGGTTTCGTTTCCTGAAGGTTTTAGACACTAAGGGTTTTGGATTCTTGTGTGCTTAATGATTGCTTGTTCATTGGTCCCAACTCCCAGTACCATCAAGCCCTGCTGTAGTCTGTGTGAAGGCCATTTGGTTTTTCTGGCCCCTAGTGGAGGGGGCAGCTGCTGTTAAGCTTGTTTTGGGGGTGGGGAATCCATACTTATCCTGGGTGTCCCCAAGGCTAGGGACAGAGCATATTTAGAGTTAGTTGTCTGCTGAGCTGTACCCCCAACGGCCCTTGGGAGAGAGTCCTGGCCCTATTCACCCCGAAGGCTTGTTCTTTCTGTGAAGGCAGTGCCAAACCTGGTGTAGCCCTTTTGTACAGATGAGCAGATGGAGCACTGGAATGAGTGTGGTGCCCCCATCATCCCTGCTTCATTTGGTGCATGGGGTTGAGGAGGCCAGGAGGGGCCCTGGGTTCTTTTCACAGGGCCATCTAGCTGCACAGGGTTTGGGGAGGGCTGTCCCGTGGTCTCTTGTGCCCTGACCTCAGCCCCTGGCCTAGCACAGAGCTTTTCTGCGTGGGGCTGGCAAGGACTTTGGAAGCTGCGGGAGATGTTGACGCTGTTGCTGTGGATACGAGAGCGAGAGCTGGAGATGGGGCGGGGGCGGGGGCGGTAGGAGAGGCTGGCTGTCAACTTGCTCTCTCAGCCTCCCTCATCTCTAGAGGGCTCCCCTGCCTGTGCCCCCAATGCCCAGCATGCAGTCAGCCATGTGCACCTTGAGGGGGCTCAGTCCCCTGGGCCCCCAACCACTGGTGCCAGGAGCTCTCCCCAGTTATGACAACTGTAGCTCTCCCCAGATATCACTGTGTCCCATGGAGGGATTGCAGGATCACCCAGTTGAGACCCCCTATTTCACTCTAAAACTTGTCTACTTAAGTCTGAGAAACAGTAGCTGAGCCTCTACTGTGAGCAAGGTACTGTCAGGATCCCAGTTCTGTTCCCTGGGATCCTGGAACCTTGGGGGTTGATGGAGGAAAAGGCTTGGAAGAGGCCTCTCAGTAGAGACCTGAAGCCCTGGGGTCAGATGGGACAGGGAGGGTGTGACCCAGGAGAGGGGACAGCACTCTTGCTGCAGGGAGTGGGGGAGGGGCATTGGGGTGTGGATTTTGAGGAGGTGGTGGCCTGAGGTGGGAAGGAGGCAGAGCAACCTAAGGGCTCCATTTAATCCAAAGGGTAGGGTGGGGGACATGCGGGGAGCAGCTGGTCTTTACAGAGGAAAATCCGTTTATGGAGAAGGGATTAGGGATTGAGGAGCTAGGCCACTATGGAAGGGGAGGGGTGTGCTGATTTATGAATTGGGTAGGAGGGGGAAGCCTCAGGACATGGGGCCAGGAGGCTAGGGTGACCCCCAGTTTTCTGATCCAATAGCCCCAGGTGGGCAGGGTGGTGTGATGACTATAGTTTGCTGAAGAGACCCCGCAGGAGAGAGAGATGGGGAAACTGAAGCCTGGAGGGGCAATAGCCACACCCCCCAGGCAGAGCTGGGTGCTCCCTTAGGTTCAGGTGGGGCTCAGGAGACTGATGGTTTATCTGGGATTGGGGCAGGGGGACATTGCTAGGCCTGAGGGAGGCATGGGTCCCCAGGAACTGCCTCTCCACCTAGGTCCCTCCTCTAGCCGGCAGGGGTGCAGAGAGCAGCTGGAACTGGCTTCAGGTGCCTGTGCCCCAGCTGGGGGTGGGGGAGGGGCACCCAACATTGCAGGGGGTGATAACCACCCACCACCAGACTCCCTGATAAAGGTGACCCAGATGGCCAGGCAATGGGCAAATGATATGAGGATGAGGAACCAGCCTCCTAGGGAGGGAGGGAGTCTGAGTGGGCTGCCTTTGCCCAGTGATGTTTCCAGAACGTCAGGTTCTGGAAATACTTGGGGAGGGGGGGGCTGTGGGAGCTGTGCTCCCTCATCTCTGGCACCAAGAGTCTCCCTCTCCCTCTCCCTCTATGCCATAGATGTCAGTCTGGGTAGGAAGTGAGCTGGGCAGCCAGGGTCCTCCAGGAGGGAGGAGAGGGACAAGAGAGGGACAGCAGATGACCATCCTTTTAAATAAATAAGGGATTAGTTGTAACTTCCAACTGGGGTGGTGGGTAAGTGAGATCATGGGCAAACATGTTAGCCACTGCCCAAGCCGAGCCAGAAGTCTGAACTTGAGTTTCCGGGCCTGTAGAATCTTTCCAGAGATGTAGTCAACATACCAGGTTGGGGGTGGGGGTCAATATCACACCCAGGAGATGCTGAGCACAAAGATAGAAAAGCAAGGAGAGTGGGGGAGGGGACACCAGCAAAGTAAGGAGACCACTTTGAGGGGTGATGTTAAGCTTTTGTGGCACCCTATAGGCTCCTGGCTGTCCCTAGTTCACCCCGGCCCAGCCAGTCACAGGGTCAAGTCCACCATGGTCTTACCCATGGCATGCTCTCCAGCACCTGGTCCAGCTAAGTCCCCTGGGGCAGCCAGGTGGCCACACCTGAGGCCCTCACCAGTCCTGAGCCTCTGAATGTTCTGCCTTTCCCAGACAGTGGACTGTGAGAGGGTGGCAGGGCCTGCCATCTTGTAGGCATTTGCCCAACGTTGTGGGGGCTGGAAGCCCAGCCCTGGCCCCTGTGGCAGCAGCACCACGTGAGCAGCACGGCTGGGGATGTGGATGTCCCCACGCCAATGAGCTGTGTGCGGCAGCTGTGTTCCCAGCGGCTTCAGCTGCATGCGACCTGCCCTGGCAGGCACTGCCGCCACTAGTGCAACCTGCTCTTTGTAAGGTGGAACTGTGCGGGGTGGAGGGGGGAAGGTGGGGACCAGCCCCAGCACCCTAAATAGGGAAGTGAGACAATTTCAGGCTACAAAAGCAACGGGATGCTCTCCCCCCACTTCTGCTCTCCCGCCTGTGTATTGCAAGATGGTGACATGACAGTGTGTCCTTCAGAGGGGCATCACTGCCCCAGATCTCGGATGTAGTCCAAAGACAGCAGCCCTGCCCTGGTAACCAGATTCCCCTTCCCCAGATCACTCCTCTGAGTGGTTGCCACTATTGATGTGAGCTTAAGGTTCCTTCCCAGACTCTTTTGAGCCCCCTAATTCTGGAGAGGATGACCCTGCTGTGACCTCCTCCCCCAGCTGCTGCTGGCTCTGCCTTATGGTTTGGGGAAGGCATGGGGGTGTGGAGGGGACAGCCCCAGGGATTTGGGGCTATCGTCTTGGGGACAGTTGCTTTCCCCCCAGCTGCACAGTTATGGCCTGTGACTCCCCAGGGAAGGTGGCACCAAGGACCCCTTCCCAGCTGTGAGCATGACAGGCAGGTACCCCACAGAAAGCTTTCTCGGGTGGGGGGCCTGTTGGGCTTCTGACCCCCTCCCCCACCCCACATGTGTTGTGCTGGGGGCATCCACGTGCGACCTGGAGGACAGGAAGGGTGGGGGGAGGCTTTAGTATAGCTTTTTCTTGGGCCAGGGTGATGGCTGAGTCTCTGTGGACTCCACCAGTGTCCCCCACCCCAGCCCTTTTCCCCAGGGCAGGCCTTGAGCTTTTACAGCAGAAATGTCACTCAGTTACCCTAAGAATCCTGACCTTGCACTCCCCATGGTTACAGGTCTGCCCTGTGGTCCTTCCTGCTGTCGCCTGGTCATCTCTGTCCTTATCCCCCATGGGTCCTGCTTTGGGAGTCTTATCTGACCCCTGTCTGAGAATTCCCTTCTGTCTGTCTCTCCCACCACCTGTCCTCCACCTGTGGACCTGTCCCCAGAAAAAGGGTCAGCTCTAGTCAACGAAGCGTACCAGAGTGAATCTTTTAGTATATAACTGTGACCAGGCCGAGCCCCCTCTACTCCCCCAAGCTGGCTCCTTCCCTACGTGGGGCTCCATTTGGTGCCACGAGGGGCATTGCACACGTGCGTGGGCACCCCCTCTCACGTGTCCACATTCTGTCTACACATGCCCACACACTTCAAAACCTCTGAACCTCAGGCGGAACAACGCCTGGGGATCTCAAGAGTCCCAGATACCCGGTGTGGAGTCCTCCAGGGCACGAGCTCAAGATGCCTGGCCCCTTGGCCTGGGGTGTGGCGGAGGTCCACAGGGGCTGGACAGAGTCTAAGGCTGGGACCCACTGGGGAGATGCTGGTAGTGGGGAGTAGGGGGATGCTTGTAGCTTGGATGGTGTTGGCCAGCAGGGGCAGGATGGGTGAGGCCAGCTTGGGTGGTGGGTGTGGTCTGCAGAGGAAGTTGCTGGGTGACAACCCGCCTGTGCTTCTGCCTCTACCTCTGCCCCTGCCCCTGCCCCTGTCCCTGCGCCCCGCCCCTTCCCAGAGGCACTGAGGACCTGCACGAGTGGGGTGCCTAAATATGCAGGTAGCTTGGGCGGCCCTTCACATGACCATCTATACAAAGAGGCGCCATGAGAGTCAGCAGAAAGGTCGGGCAGGGGAAACTGCCCAGATTTTGTCCCCCACTTTGTACCACGGGTGCTCACTTCCAGAAGGAGGGGGTTTAACTGGGGTTACTACCACCTGCGAGGCCCTGAATGCCCCAAAGGAGAGGTGAAAAGTAGTAATGCCCTTGAGGGTTGGGGGGTGGTGTGGGGGTGACCAGTTTGCACGAGGAGAAGCCCCTCAAAACCCAGCATGCATCTGAGACTGCATGTGTGTGGCAGATGCACAAGGAGACCTTTGTCACCATGGTGATGCTGCAGGACCGGGCCATAAACCCAGCCTCTGTAGGTTCTAGTTTTACCCAAGGGAGAGTGCTCACAGACGTATAATTGCAGGTTTCCAGGAAATTAAGGACGAGAATATTCATTAGGGTTTCGTGAAATGAGTGGCGGGGGTCCTTTTTCTATTTTTTGCATTTACCTGGTTTAAATTCACACCCAAAATTCAGTCTCTAGAACTAAGGGTGTGGATGAGACAAATTACCGGGATGCTTTGGGATCTGATGGGATGTCCCCTCTCTCCCTCTCTGACCCCCTAACCCCTACCTGATGACCACCAACTCTTTGCTCTCTGACTCATCCATCCAGGTGAGCGCCCCTTTGCCTGTGACTGGCCAGGCTGCGACAAGAAGTTTGCGCGCTCCGATGAGCTGGCCCGCCACCACCGGACACACACAGGGGAGAAGCGGTTCCCCTGCCCGCTCTGCTCCAAGCGCTTCACCCGCAGCGACCATCTGACCAAGCACGCACGCCGCCACCCTGGTTTCCGCCCGGAACTGCTCCGGCGCCCAGGCGCCCGCAGCACCTCGCCTAGCGACTCCCTGCCCTGCAGCCTGGCTGGCAGCCCCTCACCCAGCCCAGCACCCAGCCCAGCCCCTGCTGGCCTGTAGGGCCCATCCAGCCCACCTGGATCTCACCTGCCCAGAGCACCAGCAACATGCCTGTTGTCCAGGCACCCTTCCAGCGCGCTCCCCTGAGGGTCCTAAGATGCCTCTAATCCCCTCAAGAAAGCAAGGAGGGGGCCTGAGACTGGACTGGGGTCAGCTGGACCATGGAGGTGGCATACTCCCTCACCCATGGGTGGCTGGGGCCTGTGTCTGTAAATAGCCATGACCTATAACTCTTTCCATCTGCTAAACTGGGACCCCAGGTGGGTGGTCAGCAGGTGCTCCCCTTTCACCTTTGCCACTTCCCTGCCTTGGGGGATGTGTGGGGGTGGGGCAGGAAAGGCACCCCCTGCCCAGTGCTTGGAGTCAGCCCCAGGGAAGAAATGAGCAAAGAGCCATAGAGGAACCAGGGGTGACTGAGGGCCCACCTGTCCCCACACACCTGCCTGGGGCCCCTCACCCCATGGAAAGCCATTGGAGATGTTCAGGGAAACGGGGTGCAGCCCAGCTGCCCCCCATTCGGGTATTTGATCTCAGGTGTCCACAGGTTCTGTCCCACTGCCCATGGGAGGCAGGTGGGCAGGGGGAGGGGGAGGGTATTCATGGGGTCTGGGTTTTGCTTCTGAGATGCGGAAAGGCAGGAGAGGAACAGGGTTCTTCCAAAGAGCCTTTGCCTCACTTTGGGGGTAGGGGTGGGCAGATAATGGGATGGAGTGAATGCCGGCTTATTTATTTTCCTGTCTCTGCTGGCTGAGGGACTCTCCTGTCTCCCCTGGGTGGGTGTGAGTGTGAGTGAGAAGCTGGTGCCACAGCTACTCCCTGCTCCCTATAGCCTTTGGCAGTATCACGTGACAATCATTCCCTTCCCTTAGGGACCAGATAGCCACTGGGCTAAATGCACCCCTCCCCACCTGCAGGTGGGGGTGGGAGCCCTGGCTCCATCCTGCCCCTTGCTGCATGTCCCCCTGGGCTGCCAGGCCTGGATCACTGATTGAGTTACCACGAGGACGGGAGGCAGGAGGACTGGCCCAGAACCCCCTGGGAATAGCTCGTTTTTTTGGACCGGGTAGAATATTTTTTCAGGCTCCAATCCTTTTCTTGATCCGGGTCACTGTGGGTGGTCCGTTATCCTCAGGGCATGGGGGGTGTGAGGGGAAGATCCTCGTGATCTGAACTTAGGGTGGATGCCTTGTTCTTTGGTAGAGTCCTTTGGATTTCAATATGGACCGAGGGACTGAGGACCCAGCCCTTCTGCCCTGGAGTGGAAAGGGACCCAGGCTCCTTGCCCTCAGACCCTAAAAGGGACTGTTTCCCCACCACCACCACCATTGGCTACAGGAGGTTTGTGGCATCTGTGTTCATTCCAGAGCTTTCCTTGTGTCCCAATTGGGAGCTGGGGGTTTAAAGGGCACTGTTGTGGACCTGGACCCTCAGCCTGGCAGGATCCAGGGATGGGTGCCTGGGGTCCTTTCAGAGCTGGGCTGGGGAGGATTTGTCTTCAAGTGTGGACTATGGGCAGATCCTCACAGAGTTGGTCCATCTACCCTCAATCCTTCATCTCCAAGGTGAAATGCCTTTGTAAGGGCAAGAGGGGTGTATGCCCCATTCACCTTTGTCTGTGTGGATGTCCTCTTGGTTGTCCCAGGCCTAGCTGGTGCCTGTCCACAGGTGGACTGTGGGTCCCACGGCCCAGGAAGCTGAGAACTCTAATGTCTGCTCCCTCTCCAGTGGCTTGGAGAGACCCATGCCCCCCTCCCTCAAGGGGCCAGTAGTAGCTGTGGCCTTTCAAGGGCGGTCAGGGGAGGGAGGATAGCGTCCCTAGGGACTTGTGCTTTCTTGGGTGGCGCCCCTCTCCCCTGCCCTGCCTGACAATATCCTTGTATTTAATTAAACAAGCCCTTTTTTAAATCCAACTCAGTGCCTGTGTGGTTTTTCCCACTGTCGGCCCCCAGCAGGTGGGCTGTCCCACTCACCAATGTGGCCTCAAGGTCACCAATCTTCTGAGGAAACTGAGGCAGAGGTCTAGTGAATTCAGAGACCTAATGGGAGTCTTAGCAAGTCCACAGTGTTTGGAACACAAAATAACATCCCCTAGCCTTGAACTCTGGGGAGTGGGCTACCTGCAGCAGTGCATGCTGCTGCCTTTTGTCATCCACGCCTCAAGCAGCTTCAACCACTGTCCACCTTCCCTCCCTGGTACTGGCTACCAAGGTGCTTTGACACTGGGGTGGGGATGCCCCTTCCCCCGGCTCTGGGGTTCTTCCCTGGAGCTACAGGGTCCTATACCCCCAGCCTGGCCACCTGTGTCTTAACAGGCTCCTGTGCTCAGTTGTCTTGCAGCTCCTATATTGTAGCCTACTGTATGCTCCTAATTGGTAGGAGGACTGGTGGTGGGGAGGGACCCTCTAGGGAGGGAAGATTAGCATCCCTGAGCAATGGGAAGCTGGTGTGAGCTTTGAACCCCCTTAGTAGTTTTCAAAGGCCTCCCAGGTTCCAGCAGTCTTCAGGACCCCGAAGGCCGGTGGGGCTGCAGGTGGGAGAGCACAACCCCTCCAGGGGACGCTTCCCTTCTTCCCACTCCGGGGAAACCCATGGCCCCACCATCTGGTGGCTGCCCGCACCATGGGCTCCTGCCCAACTTTCCTCAGGGCCCTGACCTTGTGGCCATCAAAGTCACCCCCCATTCTTAGCACGAGCTCTCACCATTATTCAAGGATGGCTTCTCGCACCCTCTTGCTCCTGCTCCACCCCTGTTCTCTATCAGATTCTACCCAGTAATATCACAGGCATCGTTCCCTGTACCCCTATCCCCCTCTGGCAGGCTTCCCTGTGGCTTTGAGGCAGAGTTCCTGAAATGCTGGGTTAGGAGTGCAACCCCTTCCTCAGTCTCTTCTGCACACACTCCCACATGCCCTGAAACAGCTCAAAGATGTCCCCTCCTGCTCCGTTGGCACGTGAACTTCTGACTCCCCCCAGCTCAGGTCCCACTGTGTGTAAACGACACCCCCTGATCCATCGCTAGCAAGAATTTGCCTTCAACTTCAGACCTGATGTTCTCAGCCCATCTCCAGGCTGCCCTTCTGCATCACCCCTTGTCTGCAGCTCTATCCAAAGGTGCAGGCCAGAATCCTTGGGGTCACCCTTGACATTTACTCTGTCTCACCACCCACATCCAATCCATCTGGAAATCTCCCTGAAGCTGCACCTTCAAAACATCCAGAATCTGCCCACTTCTTCCTCTGCCTCTACCAAGCTTCAGCCCCCATCATGGTCCACCTGTAGCAGATTAGCTCCCTCTGCCCTGGTCCCTGGCTTCCACCTTCACCCCTACAGTCTGTCCTCTTCATTGCATCCACCAGAGAGCGCATGTGAGCGCTTGAGTCAGGTCCTACCCTTGTCCATCCCCAAACTGTTTTCCTTCAGCAGCCACCATAAGGTACCTGTGAACACCTGAGTCAGCCCCTGACCCTACTCTGCCTTCTGCCCACAGCTCTCCAGGGTTTTCAATTCCCTTAGGATAAAAGCCCAAGTTCTCCCAGAGGCCCACAAGATCCTGTACCACCTGCTCCCTACCCCTGTTTCTTTCCTGCTTTAACCTCTCTGTCTCCCCCTTGTTCACTGTGCTTCAGCCACACAGGCCTCCACACTGTTCCTCCAACCTGTCCCGGGCCTTTGCATATACTGTGCCCTCCGCCTGGAATACTCTTCCCCCAGATGTCTGCATGGTTCCTCTTTACCTTCTTCAGAATTGCTCAAATCCCACTTTCCCCATAGGACTGTGTGGATCACTCCTCTTCCCAGCCCCACCCTGTTCTACTCCCCCCACCCCATCACTTTCCACCTTGTATCAGGCTGTCTCATTTACTTATTTTCTAAATTTCCAATTGTCTGTTTCCCTCTATCAGGGTAGGAGGTCTCTGCTTTGATCACTGATGTTTCCAGCACTGTGTCTGGCATGAAGTAGAAACTTGGTAAACATTTGTGGAATGAATGGCCAAGGCCTGTGAGCATGAATAGAGCATTTGCTAGGGTGAGCTCAGGAATGACCTCATTTCACCTCACTAGCATTGTCAGGGCTACACTCAACCCTTCTGTTGGTGGTGGAGAGATGTGGAGATACTCCTGGTTGAGGGGTCTCAGATCAAATGCCCTCAGGGCTAGGTGGCTGAAGTAAGGAGAGAGGTGGGCTGGGAGAAGTGGGAACTGCACAGACCTTCCCACTGTTCACTGGGGGCTCCTTGGCAATTGCCAGCTGTTGGGCCCAGGGTAGCCAACAGTTCATAGAGAGGGTGGGGATTGCAGTTTTTATGTGACATCTCCCCAAGTTCTAAACATGGGCAACACATTTACATTATTATTATTTTTTTTTTGGTACGTGCCCCTGGCGGGAACCAAACCCGGGACTCTCTGGTCTGCAGGTCAGCGCTCCAACTGCTGAGCCAAACCGGCCAGGGCAACAAATTTACATTATTTAAAAAACTAGTACTGAAACAAAACAATACTCAAATATACCCATATGCGTGTTCATAGTAGTACATAATAGACAAAGGTGGAAACAACCCAAAGGAATAAACAAAATACATTCCAGCATAGCATAGCATCTAGAGGTGCTAACAGAGAGCAGGTGCTCAGTATTTCGTGGACAAATGAGTGAATGAGAACAGGACTCCTGTAGGCCTGGGGATTAGACTGCTGACACAGTCCAGGTGGGAGAAATTAAGCACTTACAGAGGGCCAACTGTATACCATGGCGGAGGTAAGTTCTAGAGCGTGGAGTAATAACTAAGACACTGGGGTTGCTGGGTACAGGCCTCATTTTGTCCAGCAGAGGGCGCTTTAGAGGAGCACGTTAATAACCATAAATTAAACGCAAACGAGCCATAGGCCGGTCCTGAGGGACTTTTCTCGTCAGGCGCGCCGTGGACAGCCCAAGCGCCGCCGGGGCCTTGGGCTCAAGATGGCGCTACTGCCGCCTCAGAAGACCGGGCAGCAGCACCGGCGAGACTCCTAGAGGCCTCAGGCAGAGCAGTTTTCACTCTCCACTCTATCTCTTGTAGCTGCCTGTCCCGGCCCATGGCCTTGAGACCCGCCTCGATCCCGAGAGACCAGGCGTTTCTAATCGGGCGCGCTGTGGACAGCCGCTCCCCGGGGCCTTGAGGCTGCTTCCTGGGGGCCTCTGGGGGCCTCAGAACAAGATGGCAGCGTCGGGGTCTATGAGGCGCGGGCGGAGGCGACCGCGGCGCCAGTGAGGGGCCCGGGGACCTGGGCGGCTCCGGGCCGGGGCCTCGCCGCGGGACGGATCATGCTACGCTCCACCGGCTTCTTCCGGGCCATCGACTGCCCCTATTGGTCTGGGGCGCCTGGGGGTCCTTGCCGGCGGCCCTACTGTCACTTCCGGCACCGCGGGGCCCGGGGCCCGGGCGCGCCCGGCGGCGGCGGAGCGGCGCCCCCCGCAGCAGGTAATGCCCGCCCGCTCAACCGCCGCGGGCTAGGCTTCACGGCCCGGGCCTGGACTCCGCCCGCGTTTCCCCGGTCCTTCGTTCCCAAGCCAGCCCCCTCCCCACACTGTCGCGGGCAACGTTTCTCCAGCCAGGACCGG